TAGCAAGAAGTTACTTTCATATACATGTTCATCTCTTGGATTCACATCTGAACCACAATATTTGTCTTGACACTCTGCTTCACATGAGGTGAGCCAGGAACAACTCTACACAACTCCACAGTGTGACACTACTATGAAATGAATGAAAGATTTGTTTCCTCTTGTCTCAAAACCCTTATATGCAATTGAATTAGTTCTTTTATGAAAAATACCAAAAAGGAACCTTAAGGACAAATCTAAGCATATTTACTACTGAACCAGTGAGATTCTTCTGTTCATTTCCAACAATGATGATGTAGACTACAAGTGATGTAGTCTTTTATTCACGTATTTTTTGAGGTAGTATTAGGAAGGTTTAGTGAGTGAATCTCTCAATATTATTGGACATTTAAACCCCAGTTTCCTATCTCCCATCCCAGTAAATGTACATGTATTCTGACTGTAGCTTGGCAAATGACATCCCAAATGTGTCTGGCCATTAACCACAGTGTTAGAGATCCATAGGATTACCCTAGGAATGAACTGGTACAAATGGGCACAGGAAAACAGCAATCAGACACAGGGAGGGGGGAATAAGCCACCGTTTAGTATGCAGTGAGAGCATTCACATTAGGAGCTGATGCAGAATAGCTAGTGAGTTGGAAATTCATATCAGCTCTGGCCCATTGTGGTCATCCATGTAGACAATTTTGTGTTTTAATCTCAGGCACTGTTAATATCATTTTAAAATGTGCTCCCTTTATACTATGCTAAGCACACTCTTCTATATGGTCACTTGTTTCAGAGGAATACTAATTGCATCACATTTACCAAAATGTTCATTCAGAGAAATACATTACTGAGTCTTTCTTGAAAATAGGCAGTTAAGGCTTCTGGGCCTGAGAGGATACAAAATGATCTTTCAGCTTGCCACAAGGTCACATGAACTACATGCTTAATGACCTCTCTCTGCCCTTTTCCATCAAAAACAAGGATTAAAACCATGATCTCTGACAAACATTTTAAACCACCCGGTATGAAAGGGCAATTTCATTAGCTAACAGCAAAATTGAACTATTCTCAGAGACAGAGAAATGAAATTCAAAGCTGTGCGTTAGCACTCAGAGTAGGATAGCCCCGTGCTCCTCTGGGGCATTGGGGGAATATGGCACCACTTGGCTCTGTAGCTGCCCCGACAGAGTCAGCATCTGCCTCTCCTCTCAGACGACCAGTGACGAATGTAGAGGTCTCAGCTACAGGTGGATGCTTCTCAAAAATATCAGGTCAGCTTACATATTCACCATGCTCCCTAGCTTCTGCTATATCAATACACTTTTTTTTTCCTTCCCTTCCCTAAATAATTTGTCTGCTGTTGGGCCTAATTTTAAAGGTATATGTTACCAAACTACAGGCCATCAAACTACAGAGCATTTTAAAAGACCTTTATTTCAAATGCTGTTCTCATAGCAGCTGTTTTCTTTCACCATGCAACTTGCAAGTCATCAAGAACTGTTTCTTTATTTGACCTTTGATTTCGGCTTTTCAGACTATGTACCATTATGAGGGTTTGCACTTTCCGTATCTGTGCCTTCAGCATATCTAGAGCTCTATTTCACTGTGGGTTGGCGAGTTGTGTGTTTTGTCTGTCTTATCTTCACACCAGTGGTACAAGATGCCAAATACCTTGTCTGTTATCACACACTTAAGTAACAGTCCTGAGAGAAGTACAGATATTAGAACTGTCGCTGAATTAGATAAGGGTGCTGACTGTGCACAGTAACAGGAAGAATGTGATAACTAGGAAGAGGGTAAATCAATCAAAAAGGGATAACAGTTTCTATTGCTTTCCAACTGAGCATTGCAAAGCATCTTCCAGAAGTCCATTAGCTTATATATCACACTAAAAATATTTCAAACGAATATCATTCATTGCAATGCCCTTGCCAGTGGTGGTAATTGGGGAGCAAGAATTCAAAGAAGGAAAAAGCATGAACACTAAAAGATTGCCTCCATCCAGAAAGAGTTGAGAGCATACAAAGGTACTCATTCCCAAATGAGAATAATCTTCTGTTCCTGTGCATATGCATGCTGGATGACAAAGATAACAGGTGCCTTGGGAAAAAGATTATTTATACTGTGTAATCAGTGCAATACCTGGCACAGTTGGGGACCTACTCTGTGTGGATCTAGACTACCATGTAGCAGTAAGAAGAACAGGATGGTGCATCAAAGTCTTTAAGTATTTGCCTCGTATTTCCTTAGCATCATAAAATCCTGATGTAGTGTATATTTCAATCTAAGCAGCCTCTGAAGAACTTACTCAGGCTACCAGAAAACAGGAAAAGCATATACAGGTTTTTTTCTACTTTTCTGTGTACCTGTCTGTACCTTTAGTTTTAGGGCACTGCAAAAAGAAAAATTCCAAATGAAACACTATCGGGCTGTGCTATGCTGCCAGTACTGACATACAAACCATTTCAAAGCGGTACATGCCACCAACCCCGCCAGGAAATTCCACTCTCAGTATTGCCATAGTGGGTGGTGATGGAGGCAGTGGCTTAAAAAACAAACCCAGAACAATTACTAAAAATGTGCCTGTCTCCTGTAATGGAGGCTGCCTGTGCACAATGGACTGAATGCAGTTTGATAATCATGTAGAGAAAATGTTGCTATTGAAAAAGGAGCAAAACCGTATGCATTACTTGAAGATTTTCTTGCTGTATGTATTGGAGCATCTTCCAGATATTCATTCTGGATGTGCCATAAGAAGATGTTTTGATGCAATGTTGAGCAGTGGGGGAAACAGAATGAACACAGACTGAAATGAGCACTTTGGTCTGGAAACAAAGTGTAATGCTGGCTCATTGCAGACTCTGGATTAATGAGAAAACAAAAGTATGCTCTTTTATTTGGGGGCAGATTTCCTCAGTATTTGGGGGGAAATTTTACTTTCATCTCAGCTTCTATTTATGAAGTACATCTATTACTTTGCAGAGGTGTTTTAAGAATTTGCAAATGCTATATGCAAGATCAATATTAATTCATGCTCAATGCATATTTTTTCTACTTTGATTTTTATGTTTTGTGCTTTTATCACATCATATGGTTTTATAGTGTAGCACAGACAGGATCAGATAGGCTAATAACACAAATTAGAAAATAACTTCAGCATGGCTCAGCCCCTGTTCCTGCATCTCTCTTCTTGAATTTTAAACAGGAAACAATTTTGTATTTTTCAGGAGTTGATAGCTGCTCGTCAAGACCGTGCAAAAATATAGGTAAGACACATTTGCATAATTTGGTTTATGGTTTTAAATGCCTTTCTAGATCAGAAAATACTGCCCTTGAAGAAAAAAAAAGTCATTTTTTTACAGCACACTTTAACACATTTTTGTCTGAGGGAGTTTCCCATGCTATTGGTTGCTGACTTTACAAAGTCAAACTGTGAGGTAGCAGGAGGGCCTCGGTCAGTTTTCTTTCTTTTTGCTCCAAGAAATTTGCAAAATGAGAGTTGCACAACATCTGAGAGTTTTTCAGACAGTCTTTGGGAAGGTCAAATGGGATTTTTGGATTGCATGTGGGTGCATGCACAAAGTGACATTTGTCCTCAACTCCTCCCATTACGTTAGTGTTGAAGGTGCTATAGCCATCTAAGTAATTAGGTTTAAACTTTATGTCATGCCTCAAACCAGTATCTACTCTAGAAAGGAAAGTTAGGTCTTGTGGTTAAGGCACTTATGTAGGAGTTTGGGGTTCACATCCCATTTTAAGTTTTCAGCTACATCATTAGGGTGCAGATTATGAACCATAAACCAGAGATAATTACCATCATCTTTGTCCCATCTTGTTTTATCTATGAATAGGACAACCAGTCCGAGGCAGGTATTATATGTCCATATAGTGTTTGGTCCAAGGGGGCCTTTAAACATTATCAAGTAACTCACTGATCCAATGCTAACAGTGACCTCTCCAGCCTTATAGCAGATAACAGGCCAGGTTTTATCTCATCTCATTTATTTTCTCAGTAACGTCTGACATGACCAGAATGATGCACTGGTATCTCATTGGACAGGCCGCTTTCCACAGCCAGACTATTCTGAGTACCTACATGCCTGAAGTTTCAATCACATGGTTCACTTGCTTTGTTTAAATGAGTTTCTTAACATTTTAGGGATTCTTTTCATTGCTATGTGAGTGACTGTACATATTGTTTTTTTGTCTTCAGATCAGCCTCATGTCTCTGACTCCCAGGTGATGGTAGAATTTGAAAATGGAAACTTCAAGTTCATATTCCCGAACCCCAAAAATGTGAGTGAGTTCAGCATGACCCTCTTCAAAGGGCATGAAAAGAAGGAGATCTGTGCACTCCATTTGAGCAAGGAGAAAGTTATCCCCAAGAATAATGTCACCTACTGTCAGACAGAGCATTCAAATAGCAGCACCACTTTCATTCTTAAAAATCTGGAAAGAAAGCACATTGACATTTATACCTACTGCCTGGAGATGTTCTTACCCCCTCCTTATATAGATTGCCGTCTGAAAGAAACCTATTTGTACATCCAAGGTAAGTTTACTTCTCTTCTCCCCTCACTTCAGTTTACTGATAAGTAGACACTGGGCATAGCTATGCTGCAGTGAAATATGTGACTAGAGTTTGCACAGTTTTCCGAGACAGCTTAAAACTACTTAGCAGGGGACTGGTAACAGTGGAGCTGTGTTGGCAGACTGCTCAGCATGGCCTCTTCATATTTATTCATCTTCTTGGGCAGGCTTTGCAGGCCATGCTGAGCTCTGCATATTGCTGGTGGCACCCAAGCTAGCTAGACTACATCTTCTGGAGTACTGCAGTTCCACCTTTGCCTGCAGCAGAAATTTCTGTTTGTCCATTTTCCAAGCTGCTGAATGCAAATGTTAGATTATTTCTATCCGGGGAAAAAAATCCATTCTGAGAGCTATCTTCATGTGCCTAAGATAAAAAAAACATCAGCAGTCAAATATCTGTGCTAGCAGTGGTGTATGGAACTCTGATGCCACACTGATGTGAAGAAGATTGTGTTCACCTCTCTGAAGCAGGCCTTCAGCTTTAGAGCCTTCTTAGAGCAAAAGAGATCTGCAGCTGCTGAGACTTTTTTGCCTTTTACTGAGAAGGGCTTGGACTAACTTCAGAAGACTTGCTGCACAGGCTTTAATTTTGAATTGCCTTTCACTCAGTGGCTCTTTCGTGTATTAAGCTGAAAGAGTTAGTGGTTTTGCTCATACCCCTTCTTGGTTCTCCATATAGTTCGGCTACAACATGGTACTGCCTGTTGTCCTTCCCTTGCTATCTTTTTGTATCTCTCAACACCCGGACTAAACAAAGATAGAAGCTGCAATACTAAGGCTAAAATTATGTGGTTAAGTCAAATTATCTCTCAGCCCTCTCTGAACTTAAAACAGCTTCTCAGAATCAAGCTGTGACATCCTTTTTTTGTCTGCAGTGTTTCCCAAAGCTGTCCATTTCCATTTATATGGATAGCCAGATGCTCATAGCTATTGCCAGATGTTTCATGCCCTATCACATTTTCTCCTAGATCTGGGCAAGGGTAATCTTGTGTCCCTCAGCTTGCCTTCCTATCCAAACATGACTGCCAAAGTCCACCCTTCTTTTGACCAGGCAGCCCTTAAATCACCTGTGGTATTTACTGAATGTAAGCTTAAGCATTGCTCAGATCTGAAATACCATCATGCTCTCAAGCCTGGCTTTGTTGCTTTTCAGTCTACACTTTTAGCCCTGTGTACCAACAGTTTCACCTCTCCTTCTGGAAAATTGCAATGTTCTGCTTCCTGCTGCATAGACTTTGCCCAG